GAGAACCTGTATAAAGCAACAAGAAACCTAAAAAATGCATGTACACATACACCTCATAAGTTATATTAGTAGTTGTCCTGTACATAAGACTTAACTAGTTACAATATTTTTAGAAATTTAAAAATAACCTTGGGAACTAATAGTTTTAAAAGGAGTCTCAAATATGATCAGATATGAAGAGGTCATTATCCTGGCATTCATTTATAGGTTTGTGTTAGGTAATTTTTTTGTAACTGTGATCAGTATTCTTGGCATAGGCACTCAAAGGGAGAAATGGCTTGTTTTGGAAGATTTCATCCAACTTTGCTCAGCCACATGGACTCTGGCTGTTGTAGCCCAACAGAGCAGGACTTCAGCTCATGAACAGGAAGCAAAGTGGCAAAAACAAAGAGGGCCATATTAATAAAAACCCACTGCCATTTTGTCAGGAAATACTGACTTTGAAACTATGAATCTTTTTAAATGGATATATTCAATGACTGTCTTCCCATTCCTTGCTTTCCAGAATAACCTGGGTATCCTGTGGTCTGAGAGAGAAGAGATTGAAACTGCACGGTCCTACCTGGAGTCATCAGAAGCACTGTACAATCAGTACATGAAAGAGGTATGTTACGTGGCAGACAAAAATTCTCATTGACAATGAACTAATCATGAATTAATACCAGAATTCCTTATTCACAGGAATTATTATTAATTATTAAGGGATGGCTTCCTTTATAAAGTGCTTGCCATACAAGCATGAAGACCTGACTTTGGCCCCCAGAACCCACATAAAGAGCTGGGTGTTGGGTGTTGTCGTGCATGCTTGTAATGCTAGTGCTGGGGACTCAGGGACAGGTGACCCTCGAGCTCGGGGGCCAGCCAGCCTAGCCAAGTCAGCAATTCCCAAGCCAATGAGAGACCCTGGCACAAAAAAAGCAAGGTGTTGCTTCTGGGGAACTCGTGAAGTTGACCTTTGTCTTCCACAAGCACATGCAACATGCATGCACGTACACACAAGAATTTTCCATTCATGATAATTTTTTAGTATGCCTGGGAATTTCTTTCTTTTTTTAAAAAAAATATTTATTTATTTATTATGTATACAATATTCTGTCTGTGTGTACGTCTGCAGGCCAGAAGAGGGCACCAGACCCCATTACAGATGGTTGTGACATGGTTGCTGGGAATTGAACTCAGGACCTTTGGAAGGGCAGGCAGCACTCTTAACCACTGAGTCATCTCTCCAGCCCCCCTCCCCCGGGGAATTTCTTTTTAAAGCTGTCTGAAATTACTGCATATTGAAGACTGAGGTTCTTAAAAGTAATTCTTGGTAGAGCATAATGGCAAAGATGGTCTTAATATAATCATAAAGGAAATACTCTAATGTTATCCAAACATACCATTTGAATATTTTCGTATTAATTTATTTTAGATTTATTTCCGCTTGTGTATATGAGTGTTTGCTGTATGTATATATGTGTACTACGTGCATGCCTTGGAAGTCAGAAGGCATCAGACTCCTTGGAACTGGAGTTGCAGATAGTTTTGGAACCACTCTGTGGGTGCTGGGAACTAAACCCAGCCTGATCTCTGCAAGAGCAGCCAGTTCTCTTAACCACTGAGCCATCTCCAGCTCAGTTTTGGATGTAGACTACTGATTGTATTTTTTTTCACTGAAGACAGTACTTTGAGGGAAAGCAGCTATACACTATATCTGAAACTCAACAATACATCTGAAATCTTTGTGGATGTGTTTTGCTGCTGTGGTGTGCACATCAGAGTCACCCGAGGGACCTGTGAAGCCTCAGTAGGCCATGTAGGTGCCTGTGTTCCCAGCAACTTGAAGTTGAGGGAGGAGCTTGAGTTCAAAACCAGCAAGACTCTGTCTAAACCAAAACCAAAGTCTCAACAGACCAGGCTTCTGGGCCATCTGCGGCTGTTCTGGGCTGCGGCCTGAGAGTGCGCTTTTTAACAAGGTGACATTTATGCTGCTGCTGTGATGACCATGTTCTGAAACCTGCTCCAGGGCCATGTTTTTCCTGACGATATTCCCCCACGTCTGAAATGCAGCTTATGCAGATGAACATCTCTGAAGAAGAAGCAGAATATATATGTCTAGGATATATTTTTTAGTTTTTTATTGCAGCATGACATAAACACCAACCACATTACAACTGCAGAGTAAAGACTTAAGTTGGGACACAAAGCCAAGGCAAACAGCAGACAGGCCCTCTTCAGAGACTCTCAACAATCCTGAAGGTGATTCAGAAGGCTTTCCCCTCTCTAGCTAATGGGAATTAAGTCATGTATCATTCATGTATATAAGTAAATTAGAGATGGCTCAAAGGTTAAGTTCAATTCCCAGCAACCACATGGTGGCTCACAACCATCTGTAATGAGATCTGGTCCCCTCTTCTAGCCTGCAGACAGAACACTGTATACATAATAAACAAATAATTTTTTTTTTAGCTTTGGAGCCTGTCCTGGATCTAGCTCTTGTAGACCATGCTGGGCTCAAACTCAGAGATCCACCTGCCTCTGCCTCCTGAGTGCTGGGATTAAAGGCGTGCGCCACCACCACCTGGCTATAATTTATTTTTGTTTTATGTGCATTGACATGTATGTCTGTGTGAGGGAATCAGGTCCCCTGAAACTGGAATTGCAGACAGTTGTGAGCTGCCTTGTGGGTTCTGGGAATCAAATCAGGGTCCTCTGGAAGAGCAGTCAGTACTCTTAACCGCTGAGCCATCTCTCCATCCCAAATAAATAAATCTTTAAAGAATAAAAACCCTTTGACTAAAAGAAACTGAGGGGAGGAAAGAGTTTATTGGTTTTTACACTTCCAGGTTCCATCGCTGAGGGAAGTCAGGGCGTGAACTCAAGCAGAAACTTGAAGCCACGGTAAAATGCTGTTTACTAGCTTGTTCAGCTAGCCTTCAGGACCATTTGGCCAGTGGATTGGACCCTCCTGTTATCAACTAGTAATCAACATAATCACCTGCAGACCAATCTGATCCATCCAATTGCTCGTGCAAATGACTGTGCTGTGTCAGGTTGACAACCAGAGCTCACTGGGACAGATTCTCTCTAGGAAGTATTGGTGTGCTTGGGAACTTGATGCGTTCAGTTAAAAGCAAAGATGAGGTTGGAGGCAAAGCTCAAGGAATAGACAGTGTGCTTAGCATGTGCTAGACTCTGGGTTCATTCCCAAGCACCACAAAAATGATATAGCAAGATGCAAGGATGAACTTGTAGTTGGGACTGTCCTCATAAAGGGTCAACATTTATGTCCGGACAGAAGCCTTGTTTGTGGAGAGTAACACTGTCACCCTGAAAGCCTTATGAGGGAGGATAGGTGCTGTAACTGCCTGCTTTTCGTAGACAAGGAAACGGCGTAGGAGGTTGGCTTTCCTAAGACAGGAAGCAGTGTGATTGATCCCTGCTTCTTATTTAATTGCTGAAAAGTCATGTTAACCCTTAACATATCTCTGAGTGGGAGGCCAGGCTACAGAGCGAGTTCCAGGACAGCCAGGGCTACACACACGAGACACACTGTCTTAGAAACAAAACAAAACAAACAAAAAAACCACTTTGCTTGTTTCCCTGAGTTGATTTTCATTAGTAGTGGCAGTTTGAACTGTTACCTAAGAAGATAGAAATCACTATTTTTATGCATATTTTGTCTTATTATAGTTGCTTATTTGAGTGTGTGTGTGCACGCGCATCGCACGTTATAGTGGGTTCTCTTTTTCCGCCATGTGGGCTCTGGGGATCAAACTCAGGTGGTCAGGCTTGGTAGTAAGGTGGTTTTTTCATTTTTTAATTTATTTTTGAGATCATAACATAATTGTATAATTTCTCCCTTTCTTTTTTCCCTCTAAACTTATGTAAGTTTTTAAAAGAGACTTTTTAATAGACAAAACAAAATTCAATTCATTATTCAACTAAAGTGAGGTTTGGTGGCCTACACCTATAATTCTGGCATTCAGAATACAGAGACAGTAGTGGTTGGACTCTGAGACTACCTTGGGCCACACAGCGCACAGTGAGTGCTAAGCGAGCTTGATCTGCAAAGGGAGAACTGTCTTTTTCTTTTTCTTTTTCTTTTTCTTTTTCTTTTTCTTTTCTTTTCTTTTTTAAATGTACACTGGTATTTTGCCCACATGTGTGTCTGTGAGGGAGCCAGATTCCCCGGAACTGGAGTTACACACAGTTGTGAGCTGTCTTGTTGGTGCTGGGAATTGAACCTGGGTCCTCTGAAGAGCAGCCAGTGTTCTTAATCTTTGAGCTGTCTCTCCAACAACAAGACCATGTCTTTAAAAAATAATATATGCACATACCAGCCTGAGTTGCAGTTCCATGCTGAGGCTACCTCAGACGAAGGTCATTTCTGCAGACCCGCCACAAGAGAGCGCTTGGGGTTTGTGTTCAGAAGCTGAAGAGCTGTCTGCTCTTTAACCACAGATTGGGAGCCCGCCTCTTGACCCGACGGAGCATTTCCTTCCTGAAGAAGAGAGACTCACCGAGCAAGAGAGATCAAAAAGGTTGGTCTTCATTGAGCCCACAGGCGTGCCCCGCAGTCTGGCTGGGTCCTTGCTTGGGGTGCACAAATGCTGTTTGCTGCTGCATGGCACTCCTCCTCCTCCAGGGTACAGTGAGGATTCTATGTACATAAAACCTCCATTGTCACTTACAAGTTACATGACTTTGTTCAACTCTGAGACTCAGTTTCCTTGTTTGTCAGATAGAGCCAAGGGCTCAACTCAAATATCTGAAATTTCCTTCTAAATTGTAAGTGATTGTGTAAGTCACTGTTTTCCTTCACAGATTTGAGAAGGTTTATACTCATAACTTGTATTACCTGGCTCAAGTCTACCAGCACATGGAAATGTTCGAGAAAGCTGCTCATTATTGCCACAGCACACTCAAACGCCAGCTTGAGCACAATGCTTACCATCCCCTGGAGTGGGCCATCAACGCTGCCACCCTGTCCCAGTTCTACATCAATAAGGTCAGTGTCCCAAAGTAGTTCTCCGGCAGGGCCAGCAGTGAGTGCCGTAAAAGCAGGTAGCTGCTATTTGTTGTTTAAAACTTGGTGTAGAATGCAGCCAGCTGCTTTGGCAAAACAGTATTGGAGTACTTTGTTCCACGAATACTTTGTTTTTAATATTTATTTATTATGTATACAATATTCTGTCTGTGTGTACATCTGCAGTCCAGAAGAGGCCACCAGATCTCATTACAGATGGTTGTAAGCCACCATGTGGTTGCTGGGAATTGAACTCAGGACCTTTGGAAGAGCAGGCAATGCTCTTAACCGCTGAGCCATCTCTCCAGCCCCCCACGAATACTTTTGAATCTTTAAAAAAAAAAGTTTCTGTTTGAGAATTTCATGCCATACATTTTGATCTTGATCTTTCCCCTTCTCTTACCGTTGAGTCTTTAACATGCTGCTAGCCCTCCATGACAGGGACCTAACATCAGTTCTGTCTGGCTGTTAGCACACTTTTCATTTCACTCTTGCTGTGTGGTATCTTAAATTGCAGATTTTTATCTTGTTACAGATACAACTTTATCTTCATGTAATGCTAATCTCAAAACTGTGAGAATTTGTCTGCGGAAATTGACGGTTAAATGTGGGCTTTGATAAAAGCATACGGTGTGTTTCAGTTGCTGTTCAGAATTAGCCACTCTCTAATAATCACTTTTGATGTTGGGACTGTGTGCTGAGCCCTAGAGTCCCAAGTTTTATGGCACCCTTCTGAACTGTCACATAGAGACAAGTGTGAACCTCAGGCTGCTTGTCCAAATCACTTAGCGTTGAGTTGTATTTTGCATACACTCATTTTTTTTCAGTACTTTAGTTTTAATATTAACACCCCCCCCTTACTGTTTTTTGGAGTCAGGGTGTTGCTGTGTATCCCTGGCTGGCCTGAAAGTTGCTATATAGACCAGGGTGGCCTGGAACTCAGAGGTGTCTGCCTGCCTCTGCCTCCCGAGTACCGTGGCTAAAGCATGTGCCACTGTGTCCGGCACAGAAACTATTGCTATTTGGAGCTCTGGTTCCCAGAGCACCGACATTTGGAAATTCTTAGCCCATCAGCATCCCTCTTGCTCCTCTGGTGGCCTACTGCCTTCCCCTCAGCCTTTTCCTTACTATGCCTGCTAGCTGGTCTGTAAACATGCCCTGTGTTTACAGTGTTGTCCCACACAGTGTCACTCAGAAACACTATTGGGAGAGAAAGGGCAGTGTTGACTGTGGCATCGCTTCTAGGAGTTTGGTTTAGGATCAGGCACGGAGTAAGACTTTTTGCATTCAAACTGAACTCCTGTGACTCCATTTCAGCATGTCCATCAAGAGGCCCCTCTGTCAGCTCCTTCCCTCCAGCTGTTGAGGTTCCATTGTGTGCTCCATTTAGTAACTTTACTGATGTGGGATTCCCCTCTGTATGTTGGTGACTATCATTGGCTAATAAAGGACTGCTTTGAGCCTATAGCAGAGCAGGGCAGAAAGAGCTAGGCAGTCAAAACTAAAGTGAATGCTGGGAGAAAGAAGGGTGGAGTTAGAGAGAATCCATATAGCCCCACTGAAGACAGATGCTGGAACTTTGCCAGTAAGCCACAGCCATGTGGTGATTCACAGATTACTAAAAATGGGTTAGATTAATATGTAAGAGTTAGCTGATAAGCTAGAACTAATAGGCCAAGCTGTGATTTAATTAATATAGTTTCTGTGTGATTATTTTGGGGCTAAGCAACCAGGAACTAACTAATGGCCTCTATTTAACACTTTACATTTCCTTGTTTAGTATGGTTTTAACTAACACCTAAAACTCCATGGATATTCATAGTACAGCAGGTGAGTCTCTCCTGCACCACACCTTTATTTTTTTTTCCTTTTTCTTTTTTCTTTTTTTTTTTTTTTTGGTCCAAATCACAACCAGCTAAGTTCTGTCACAAAAAAAGAGATTTAAACTATGTTTGAAAGTGATGTTCAGCTGTGCGGTGGTGGCGCATGCCTTTAATCCCAGCACTTGAGAGGCAAAGGCAGGCGGATCTCTGTGAGTTCGAGGCGAGCCTGGTCTACAAGAGCTAGTTCCAGGACAGGCTCCAAAGCTACAGAGAAACCCTGTCTTGAAAAACCAAAAAAAAAAAAAAAGTGATGTTATATCTTAGTCACTCCAGAAATATCTGTCCCCACAAATGAGTTGAAAATGGAGTTTAGGGGCTGGAGAGATGGCTCAGAGGTTAAGAGCACTGACTGCTCTTCCGGAGGTCCTGAGTTCAATTCCCAGCAACTACATGGTGGCTTACAACCATCTGTAATGAGATCTGGTGCCCTCTTCTGGCCTGCAGGCATACATGGAGGCTGAACACTGTATACATAATAAATAAATAAATCTTTAAGAAAAAAAAAAAGAAAGAAAATGGAGTTTAGTCAATAGGGTGCTTGTCTACTATGCAGGAGACCCTGGGTTCAGTACTGGACTATGCAAAAAACAAAACAAACAAAACCAGAAAGTGATGTTATTTGTATTGTTACCATCTCCATCTTCTTCGGTCTTGCTGCTCTTCAAGTCCCATGTTAACCTGCTACCCGCAGAGCACAAGGCTGTCTCTGTCTTCAGCAGTGACTGCTCATAGGAAGACAGTCTAGACAGAGCTAAAGTGGTAATGATGGGTAAGACACTGTAGGGGGCCAAGAATGTTTCTTCATGTGAGCTGTAACTGTCTTACCGTTGGACTTCATACCAACATGTGCAGGTATGGATGCTGCTTGTCTCTTGATACCCATGGCACCCGACTATTCTTTACGAGAGCTCCGAATTCAGTGTGGAGGCAAGGTGTATTACTGTTGAAATTCTATCAACCACATCAGTCTTTCAAACTAACTGATAGGAAGCACATTCTCTTCCGTTCAGAAGATAAACTTTAACTTGATTCTGCCAGACCCCGCATTTTGAATGACAGATGATGACAGGTATTTGATGTTTAACACAGAGATGTTCTTGAAGTGTCTTTTCTATGCCCAGATTTGAATCTTGAATTCCTTGTGAGTATTGATGAAGTAGTTCCATAAGTTCATTTGTAGAAATCCCTTGACTTGAAAACTTGATGGGAAGCCTCCTTGTCATGTCGCCTCCCTCCAAAGGTTTGAAAAGGCAGGAATGAGCCCTCAGTCCTCTGACAGAGTGGATACAGAGTACCAGATAATGTTGTTATCCATAGCAGCGCTACTGGGTCCCTTTAGTGGGGTCCTTTTCCTGATAGTACAGCTATGTTATTAGAACTGTTATTGTAAACAAGACTGTCATAGTTAGATTTTCTTGTGCTTATTTTCCCAACAGCTCTGCTTTATGGAAGCCAGGCATTGTCTGTCTGCAGCTAATGTTATTTTTGGTCAAACTGGAAAGATCCCAGCTACAGAAGACAGTAAGTTTGTGTGTGCATCTCATGATACAGTTTCTCACTATGACAGTCTTGTCCACACTGATCTTGAACTCAGTGTCCTCCCACTGTAGCTTTCTAAGCACTGTAATGACAAATACGCCATACCCGGCTTCTATATAACCTCAAACCTGTGTGAATTCTGAGTGTATGTGTGTGAGTGCTCTGTCTGCAGGGCTGTATGTGTGCCACATGTGTGCATGATGCCTGTAGAGATCAGAAGAGGGTATCTCATTCCATTCAACCCAAGTTAGATGGTTGTGAGCCACAGTGTGGGTTCTGGGAACGGAGCTAGGGTCCTCTGCAAAAGTAGCAAGAACTCTTAACCACAAAGCCCTTAGATTTGAAACTCTTGTAAGCTTTAGAAAAGTTGTAAGAACAGAATTCCATATGCCTTCCTCTAAATGCATCATTTTCAATATTTGTGATTCTCTATCCATTTTTTTCTGACCCATTTAAGATGAGTTTTTATAGACATCTTTCGACTGTAATACTTCAGTACATCGTTTCCTAAGAATTAGAATATCTTCAATAAGACATAATGACTCATGCCTGGAATTCCAGCATTCCAGAGACTGAGGCAGGAGGAGTGCCACAAGTTTTAGGCCAGCTTGGGCTATGTAACAAATTTCAGGTCAACTCAGACAATAGCATAAGACCCTATCATGAAAAAAAGAAATCTCTCTCCCCCTCCCCCTCCGCCTCCGCCTCTCTCTCTCTCTCTCTCTCTCTCTCATATGGGACCGTTAGCAGCTTCAGGAAATGCAGCACCATGACAGTTCTCCTGTCTGCAGTGAATGTTTCTGTTGTCAGCTGTCCTCTAATGTCCTTCCTAGAGAAGCTTTTCCCGTCTCTGTCGTACAGCTCAGGAGTGCACGTTGCCTTCAGCTGTGGGGTCGCCTTAGTCCTCCTGTCCTCTGGGGCAGTTGCCAGCCTCTGCCTTTTCATCGTGTCTTTTTAAGGCCATGGGCTGGTTACTATGTAGGATTCCCGTTACTTAGGGTTTGTGCGATGTTTCCTTCCACCGTGATTGAGATTTTGGTCAGGATACTACTTATGTAAGGGCTGTCTCCTCACACTGTCTTTCTTCACCATGGGGCTTTTGTTTGGTTGCGTGTTTGTGTGTATGTGATGCAGCATTGAAGCAAGGGCCTGTGTGTGCTAGGCAAGCTGGTCCCAGTGCAGGGGCTGGGAGGGGTCGGGGAGAAAGGTGAAAACAACAGTGTCCATGTTTTCCACATGATTTCTATCAGCATACAAAAACATTGTTGGATATGACATTTGCCAGAAATAATTTGTCAATTTTTATTTAAAATACTTTAAGTTGTGTAAACTGTTTAACCTAGTAAATTACATTTCTGGAAAACAGCCCAGATTCTAGGTAGATGTATGTATAGGAATCTGCAGCCTAGATTTGTTCATAATAGGAAGGATTTAAAACAGTATATTTCCTCTCCCAGAAGAATGGCTGAAATAGGAAATAGCTGTTTAATTGTGTGTAATGGTGTATTAGAAATTAAGTTCAGGAGTTGGTAATGATAGGGTCAGAATTTTAGTAGCATGCTATATGAAGAAAAAACTATTTAAAAGTAAATATCCATTGTAGCCTTAGTTTTTACCTGCAGAGAAAGCGTAAGAAACTCAGTGAGGCTCTGCAGGCGCAGCCCCGAGTGCTGCACAGCTTAGTGAGGGTCTGCCGCTGTGCAGTCAGGGAAGGGGAAGTAACAGAGGACAGTGTGCAGCGCAGATAGCTCTGACCAGCTGACAGGCCGCCTGGGCTTTCAGATCCTGAAGCCGAAGGAGACGTGCCAGAGCTTTACCATCAAAGAAAAGGGGAGATAGCACGATGTTGGATCAAGTACTGCTTGACGCTGCTGCAGAACGCCCAGCTCTCCATGCAGGTATGCACATGGAAATTGCCTTTGGCTTTGTGGTTTTTGCAAATTGTGTGTATATGTGTGTGTTTTAGGTACCTGTGTGTGTGCAGGGGATAAACTTGGTTTTTTTGAGATAGAATCTCTCACTGGACCTGGGGCTTGGTGATTAGATTATGCTGGCTAGAGGGCAGCAGGTTGCTGGGGTGCACCAGTCTCTTCCCTGCCAGCACTTAGGTTACAAGTGCTTGTCACCACTAGGTGGTGGTGCACACCTTTAATCCCAGCACTTGGGAGGCAGAGGCAGGCGGATCTCTTTGAGCTCTGGTCTACAAGAGCTAGTTCCAGGAAGGACATATTCCAAAGCAACACAGAGAAATTCTGTCTCAAAAAAAAAACCCCAAGTACTGCTTGCCACCTTCCTCAGCTCTTTTGTATGGACCCTAGGGATCCAATCTGGTTCCCCAGGCTTTCGTGACTAGCACGCTCCTGACTAACCTACCTCTTCAGCCCTAGGTGTATTATTTTTAACAGTCTCACTCCACAGTTTAAACCAGCTCCTCCTTCAGCCACCTGGGATAACAGTACCTGGATAACGGGTGTGCACTACACTTGGTAAGGGCCACACACAGAATACCACCGCTTTCTGGAAAACATTCTTTTAACTAGGCTGTGGAGAGATGGGGTCAGCATCATATTTAGATTGTGACATAATTGTCCCAAGAGAGTATTTAAAAAACTAATTGTTCGCCAGGCGGTGGTGGCTCTCTCCTTTAATCCCAGCACTCAGAAGGCAGAGACAGGTAGATCTCTGTGAATTGGAGGCCAACCTGGTCTACAGAGCGAGTAGGCTCTAAAGCTACAGAGAAACCCTATCTTGAAAAAAAAAAACAAAACATGCATACAAGAATTATTCATTCAACAATTAGTTGGGGTTTTTTTTTTGCTTTGTTTTTTGAAACAGGGTTTCTTTGTAGCTTTGGAGCCTGTTCTGGAACTCACTCTGTAGACCAGACTGGCCTTGAACTGGCCAGTCTGGCCTTGAAAGAGATCCGTCAGATTAGAGGCACGCGCCACCACTGCCCGGCTTGAATGGATAATTCTTTATCCTCCACAGATACTATATTCTTCTTTTGACTTCATAAAGTCATTTAAATTCTGTTTTATAACCTGGGAATGGTGGCACATTCCAGCACTCAGGAGGTGGAACCAAGAAAATCTTTGTGAGTTTGAGGACAGTCTAGTCTACATAGTGAGTTCCAAGGCAACCAGAACTACATAGTAAGACCCTGTCTCAAAAAACCAAATAGGGGGCTCAGGTAATGACTAAGGAGTTAAAAGCATCGGCTGCTCCTCCAGAGGAGCAGGGTTCAGTTGCCAGCACCCACATGGCAGCTCCCAACCGTCGATCAGGGATCTGATAATCATCTTCCCGCAGATACCATGCACCAACCTGGTGCACAGACATGCATGCAGGCAAAATACCCATGCATATAAGATAAAAATGAAGTTAACTTTAAAAAGATTGGAAGAAAGTAAAGTCTAGGTGCGCTGTGGTGGCCTAGTCATTTAAAATGACCAAATAAGTGAATCAACAATCTCATCTGTTATCTCCTTCTGTTTGTGATTTTGTGTTTTGGTCCTGTTTTGAGACGGGGATCTCGTGCTAGTGCCGTCTGGTACAGAGCTTACTTAAGCAGTCCTTCCTGGCCTCAGACTTGTGGCAATCCTCCATCCTCAACCTTCCTAGTACTAGGATCACAGAATGCACCACCACGTCTGGCCCCTTGATTTAGTTTAGACTGCAAGTCCTTGAAGGCAGAAAGTAACGCTCACTAATTTTTGTGTCTTTGCAGTATTACCTTACAAACTGACAAAATCTTGTAGGCTCAAGACATAGTCAGTCAGTTGTTAAGTGTGGACAGAGTTAATGCAACAGTCGAGTGTAGATAGCCAGAGGCGAATCTCTGTGAGTTCGAGGCCAGCCTGGTCTACAGAGTTCCATGACAGGCTCCAAAGCTACAGAGAAACCCTGTCTCGAAAAACCACAAAAAGAAAGTATCTGAGTGTCTAAGGTAGGACTTTCAGCTGACTCAGCAGGTGAAG